GGGAGATTCTTTTAGGGTAGCAACTCGGGGTGGCCTCATGTTTATCCTTGATGTGCACACAGAGTCATTACCAGCTCCAGCTGTGCCCCGGTGCCGACTGCCCCATGGTCATCCAGGTACAAGAGCCCAGAGCTCGCCGCGTCCAGTGCAGTCGGTGCAGCGAGGTCTTCTGGTAAGAGTGGGTGTGGGTGCTGAGCAGCCTGGGCTCCTGCTGCCGCTTCAGAGCACCCCTCTGCGGCTGGGGGCGGGGGAGGGAGCTGGGCTAGACGGGGCCTTTGAACCAGGAGAGCAGCCCGCTCTGGGCGGGCACCTCGTGTTCCGTGTCATGCTGGATAAGGCTCAGCCTGCAGACAAAACGTGGCAGATTCTGGGGACGTGCTGTGGTCTGTGCTGCTGAGACTTGTGACCCGGAGGTCTTCTCTCTCTGCGTGCACAGATAATTCACATGTTACTATGTACGTGTTCAACGTTTTTACCTTTCTCTGTAACTCATAAGCGTGGCTTACATCTCCTTGGCGTTTACTCCATTCAGTAAATGTGATGGGAATAGCGAAATGCCCTGAAGGTGTAGGCACTGTCCTGACCGCGTGCCTTCATCTCCCCGCAGTGTGTGGTTGCACTGCTGTCATCCTTGTTGGGGGAGGAAGTTGAGGTGCAGGGTATTGGCAAGAGTCATCGCTTAGATCCAGGTCTGTGCCCCTAATCCCACCTCCCTGGGAGCCTCACGGAGGATGGGGCTTCAGGGACACTACATGGGAAATGTGGCGTGTGCACGTGGGCCTGCCTTTAAGACGTCGTTGAGGGAGCCTGTGGCTCGCCAGTGGTAAGAGCCCTTGAGGTGGCTGCTCTCAGCCTCCGTGTCCTGCATGGGAACTCTCCTGGGACACGTGTGAGGCCGTCTGCCTGCGCGCCTGTCCTGCCCATCACGCTGTGGTGGCTGGAGGAACGTGTGCTCTGGCTGAGCTGCCTGCACTGTCGGGGGATCGCGCCGCTGCAGCCTGTACAGCTCGGGCATCGTGCGTCCTGTGTGCACATGTGGCTGGAAGGTGAGCCAAAGCTCCCAGAAGTGGGTCTCGCCCAGCTTGGTGTCTGCGCTGAGGTGTCGTCCTCAGAGCACCTCCCGGTGCCTGCTGAGAGGCGAATTCTGAACCCGACATCCTAGTAGGAAGGGTGGACGCCACACAGGATACTGAGAACAGAACTGTCAGTTGGGTTTATTGAGAGTACATCTTGGAAGGACTGAGACTGGAGAGAAGCGGACACAATATTTCAGTGTAATCTCGAGCAGGTGAAGGTCTGAAAGGCCTTGACAGGTGACTTTCCCTCTGAAAAGCTGTTCATCAGGATCTGTTGGCTTGGACAGAAGGAAAATTAAAAACCTGACCTAACGATTATTTGAGTGTTTTTCTTTTCTGGTTTTAAGTTTCAAGTGTCGTCAGATGTATCACGCCCCCACAGACTGCGCCACCATCCGGAAATGGCTCACGAAGTGTGCAGACGACTCTGAGACGGCCAACTACATTAGTGCTCACACGAAAGACGTAAGGAGCGTGTCTTCCCTGTCGTGGTGCTGCCCGGCCTTGTGCAGGCTTGGCAGCGGTGGCAGCGGTTTATCATAGTGCACATTGGTGGGTGCGTTCATTTGAGTCCAAAGCTGAAATGCCTGGGGAAGTTACGGACCTAATTAGGGGAAAACAAGGTCTTTCTTGAATGCCTCCCGGCTTTCAGATCCCCGGGAGGGAGGTGTGCGATAGCCACTCCTCAGACACAGCAGGACTCACTGCAGGCCCAGGCCTGCCCGGGCTTGTTCTGCACCTTCCCATGGGAAAGGTGGCCACAGCCCCTGGAGCCCGGGTGACGCGGCACCCCAGGCACTAGGTTCACGCGCTCACCGACACGGCTGTGGCCAGGACATGAGGCAGACTGCTGCGTGGCACGGCGCCCGCCGGTCTCCGCGGCGTGTCCGGGGGCTGCTGGCGCCGCTCAGTGCGAGCGAGCAGCTTCAGAGTCGCCTTCCTTACCTCTTCAGAAGCAGGCGACCTGGCAGTGCCAGGCCTTGGCCCCGCTCTAGCGCACTCCTCCCGGCGCAGGCTTTCCGCTGCCTCCGCTGCTCTGTGCATGAGCGGCCCCTGGCAGGGCAGGTGGCGGCGGTGTAGGGGGCTCAGCTGGTGCTTGGAGTGTTTCAGAGTCAAACTTGCTGACCTCATTTCCTTGGATTGCTGTTCCAGCCTCAGCGACCGGCACATTTAAGTGAGATGCTCCTCCCAGCAGTGCTCGCACGATGAGTCACTGGGCACAGGTGCCAGGCGCTGTGTAATTGTCTTAGCCCCAACCTGGTGGTGCGTGAGCCTAACGGCGCCCTTCTGTCTCCTCAGTGTCCCAAGTGCAACATCTGCATCGAGAAGAACGGAGGCTGCAACCACATGGTGAGCGGAAGCCCTGCCCTTTGCACATGTGCCACTGAGCCCTGGTCAGCGGGCCTTTAACATGTTCTCTTTTGTTTCCCCCGACAGCAATGCTCCAAGTGCAAACACGGTGAGTCCCAGGCTTGGTGTTCAGGCCCAGGGGCACAGTCCGTTTCCTGTGCCCGCGTCTGCAGTGCTTGTGTAGGGCGCATTGTGTCGTGCTGCGACAGGACGCAGGGCAGCCTGCGTCACTTACATCATAATATTTATGCACTGCCTTTCGGACCCCCTGTAATCCCACCGCCATCCGCCGCCACATGCAGTCAGAAGCCAAGTTGGGGGTGACTCTTAGACCCTCGTGAACCCTCAGGCTTCCAGGAAGAAGATGTTACGTGATCTTTTTGTTTTTGCCAAGGCAGGCAAGTAGCGCCGGCTTATCTGTGCTGCCTGACGGATGTGTTCCTGGAGGCGGTGAAATTATCGATGTCCTGTGAGGTTTCATAGCGTCCCCAGCGGGGCTTTGATTGGCCTTTCCGGCCTCCCCCATCTCAGGAGGAGCTTATGTAGGACCTGCTGGTTTTGCTTTCCTTCCCGCCAGATCAAGGAAAGAAGTGCAAGTCCTTCAAGGAGGGCCTGTGTGCACATAGGTCTCCACACGGTGCGGACATGCTGCGGTTCCTCTTCTAAGGGCCTGTCGCGTGCTCGTCCTGTGTTTTCCCAGGAGCTCCCTGTAATCAGTGGACATGGCACGGGGTTAGAAGGGAACAGTGACTCTGTAGCGTAGACAGGATTTAAAACAGCAGCAAGCACAACGTAGCTGATGGAGGAGAGCAATACTGCCTCTATCCAATGAAGGCGACCAGGAGGAGGGAGTGGATGGCCTCTGGTCTCTGGGTTTGACTTCAGCTTTCCTAAATTTTACAGGCGCACCTTTTGGGAAGTCAGCCAACTCCTGGGAGTGAATCCTGGGAAACAGGGCTCCCCGCTGTCAGGTCTCTGTCCTGGGCCCCTAGCAGCCTGTGGCGGGCCTCTTTCCTGGACCACAGTCATCGTTTGGATGTACAGCGTCCATAAGGGATGTTTAGTTTTCGCTCTTTGCTTCCCCTGCAGAAGCAGAGCCATAATTCTCAGCATGAACTGCTGAGTAGCTGTAGGTTTTATAGAAATGTGCTTTTTAAAAAAGAAGCAAGGGAAAAGCCCTTATTCCCAGCTTCAGGGACAGTCTTCCTAGGACAGATGTAAGAGTGGGCGGTGGACAGGTGCGTGTGCTGTGAATGAGCCTCAGTGGGACAAGTTCCTGCCAGTTTGTTTGTCACAGTGGAGCGGACACAGCGGAGCGGCAGTGTTTTATGCTTTAAGAACCTTACTTTCCAATCAGTTCACGTTCGTCCCGAGGGTGCTGCATGGTGGTTAGACCGTTACGTACTTGACCGTGATCGTGTTGCTCCTGCCTGGCCCCATACATAGGTGATCTTCTTGATTATGTTCTCTGTGCTGTGCTGTATCAGACCAGTGGTCTTGTACCGTCAGCACCTGCCTGCATTGGGTTCAAAAGGCACAAAGCAGACCTAGCCAGTTTGGCTCAGTGGATAGAGCGTCGGCCTGCGGACTCAAGGGTCCCGGGTTCGATTCCGGTCAAGGGCATGTACCTTGGCTGCAGGCACATCCCCAGTGGGGAGTGTGCAGGAGGCAGCTGATCGATGTTTCTTTCTCATCGATGTTTCTGACTCTCTATCCCTCTCCCTTCCTCTCTGTAAAAAAAACAATAAAATATATTTTTTAAAAAAAGGCACAGAGCATATATGCTCAGGAACTGTTGTTCAGATCGGCAAGGCCAGGCCACGGGGACAGTGGGTTCGGGCAGACAGGCCCACAATCCTCTGGGAAGGAGGCAGCCTTGGGACGTTCTGATCAGGTGACAAAGCACAATCTGTCCCCACTGCTCTGCCTTTGGAGGCCTGGGGCTTGCCTGGGTGTGATGCCTCTCTCTTCTGTGCAGACTTCTGCTGGATGTGCCTCGGGGATTGGAAGACCCACGGCAGCGAGTACTACGAGTGCAGCCGGTACAAGGAAAACCCCGACATCGTCAACCAGAGCCAGCAGGCCCAGGCCAGGGAGGCCCTCAAGAAGTACCTGTTCTACTTTGAGAGGGTAGGCGCTCCTCAGCTCTCCCAGAGGGGGCCTGCTGGGGGGCCTCCCAGGGCCTGGGCCCAGAGCCACGTGCACAGAGGTCGGGTGGGCTCCTGCGTGGCCCTGGGTGATGCCTCCATAGATGTGGCTCTCGGGCTCCACAGGGCGGCGTGGCCGACAAGGAAGGACGTGGTGCTGACTGGTGTGGGTGCTGGACTGAAGGACCATAGGGCCCCCAGAGCCATCGTAGCGGTCAGATTGCGAGGGCAGTTCCTCCCAGGGAGGCCCTTCAGCAGCCCACAGGGCGTGGCTCGTTTGATTGCCGAGCACAGACCAGTGAGCGCCTGTTGGTCCTCAGGGCTGGAGCCCTGCTGCCCCCAAGGGGGAGCATGGTCTGGCAGGCGGACCGTTGATCTGGACACTCCCCCTTGGTCGCCCTCAAGGTCCCAGGCCCCTGAGCGAGACGAGGCTGTGGCTGGGCCCCTGCAGCCTGGGTGTCGATTCTGAACTCGTGTGTGGGCTCTGCTGTCCCCGGGCTCCTGCAGCTTCCTCCCCCCCTTCCCCGCAGTGGGAAAACCACAACAAGAGCCTGCAGCTGGAGGCACAGACGTACCAGCGGATCCACGAGAAAATCCAGGAGCGGGTCATGAACAACCTGGGGACGTGGATTGACTGGCAGTACCTGCAGAACGCTGCCAAGCTCTTGGCCAAGGTCTGTGCCACCTCCCTCTTCTGATCCCGTTAGACCCAGACCTCCTGGTGGGAGACACTGAGGGGGCTGGGGCGTCAGCACCCTGTGCAGCCTCCATACTCCTGCTCATGGGCGGCCGTCCCTGCTGTGCCCACTGAGGCCCAGTCTCTGCTGGACGTCCAGGGGATCCAAGAAGAGAAGCACTGCTCTGCCTGCAGGAAGGAGCTGCGGGGAGACTAGAGCCCTTTTCTTCTTTTGTCCCATCCATGCGTCACTCAGAGGAAAATAAGAGCTTGTCTTTGGACAGTTATTGAGATAGATGTGTGGACTCTGAGGTCCGACTCAAGAGGGAAGAGCCATTGAGGCAGCTGCTGGTAAATAAATCCCAGTTTGGAAAAGGAACTGTGGGTGTTCTGTGGCCACTTTTGTTTCCTTTTTTCCATGTTGTCCCCACTTCATCCTTTATTTGGCTTGGTCGCATTTCTTTCAGGCCCATACCTGTGGAGCCAGGCTAATGTGCATGGTGGGGAGAGAATTGTAAGAGCCACTGAGGTGCACGTGGGCTAGCACAGAGACACAGGCCCCTCTCTTCTCCCCATTGCAGTGTCGCTACACCCTGCAGTACACGTACCCGTATGCGTACTACATGGAGTCTGGACCCAGGAAGAAGCTGGTAAGGCAAAGCCGCCCCTCTCCCCTCTGCCCTCCTGGCGCCAGAGGGGCCCTGGGCATTGCGAGGCCAACATTAAACAAAGTCCATCCTCAGATGGCATTTCTCCTCTAGGCATCTCCAGAGTCAGCCGGTCTCCTCACTGGCTGGCATTCTGTGTATTGGCCCCGAGTGCCCGCAGTGCACAGGGAGCTGCCGGAGGGTCTCTGCCACTTAAGGCCAGTGCCCGTGCTGTGGGAGGAGATCAGTCTTCGTTTCACCCTCTCTTAGCCATGAACTTCCCGCTCCCCAGGTCATTGTAAAGGACTTCACACCTGTTGTCCAGATGCTGAACAGCAGGACGTTTATAGCACCTGTAGTCCCCCCAGAAAGACGTGACCACATGTCAGTGTTTTCTCCCTTTTGAAATTAATGTTATTTATAGAGCATTTTACTGCTACAGCAGTTCATTGTTGCAGCTGTCATTATTTACCAGGCTGGTTAATACCATTTTAAAAAGTATTTTTATTGATTTCAGAGAGGAGGGGAGAGGGAGATAGAAATCAATGATGAGAGAGAATCATGGATCGGCTGCTTCCCACATGCCCCCCACTGGGGATCAAGCCCACAACCCGGGCCTGTGCCCTGACTGAGAATCAAATCGTGACCTCCTGGTTCCTAGATCAATGCTCAACCACTGACCACACCAGCCAGTCCTGGTTAATACCATTTTTTTTAAAAGTTGCATAAATGTCTCCATTATGTGGATATTCCTTCGTTTGGAGCGTTGTTTGTTTTCACTATTATAAATAATGCGTTGAGGAACATCTTTGTGCAGAAAGCTTGGATGTACAGTTACTAAGGCAACTGGTTCAACGATTTATTTTAAGAGTTGATTTGCAGAAGGGCTGAAGGAAAACAGTATTCGGGGAATACAATGTCTGTGAATATCCATTCATCGATATCTTTTTTTTAAAATATATTTTATTGATTTTTTACAGAGAGGAAGGGAGAAGGATAGAGAGTTGGGAACATCGATGAGAGAGAAACATCCATCAGCTGCCTCCTGCACATCTCCTATTGGGGATGTGCCCGCAACCAAGGTCCATGCCCTTGACCGGAATCGAACCTGAGACCTTTCAGTCCGCAGGCCGACGCTCTATCCACTGAGCCAAACCGGTTAGGGCCATTCACCGATTTCTAAAGCATTTGTTTCCCTATATGCTGGGAGCATTATCTGCAGTGGCTTAAATTCTTGCCTATTTTGGGGGGTGGGAGGACTGTGCTCTTGCCATTTGTCTGTACTTAGGTAGCCTTTTTTTAAATATATTTTATTGGTTTTTTACAGAGAGGAAGGGAGAGAGATAGTCAGAAACATTGATGAGAGAGAAACATCGATCAGCTGCCTCCTGCACATCTCCCACTGGGGATGTGCCCGCAACCCAGGTACATGCCCTTGACCGGAATTGAACCTGGGACCTTTCAGTCCGCAGGCTGACGCTCTATCCACTGAGCCAAACCGGTTATGGCTTAAAATATTTTTTTTATTGATTTTGGAGAGGAAGTGAGCGGGAGAGAGAGAAACATCAGTGATGAGAATCATTGGTTGGCTGCCTCATGCACACCCCCCACTGGGGATCAAGCCCACAACCCAGGCCTGTGCCCTTGACCGGAATCGAATCTGGGACCCTTCAGCCTGCAGGCCAGCACTCCATCCACTGAGCAGCACCAGCCAGGGCTAGGTAGCCTTTTAATTGGGTTCTGGCTCCGGGGACAGGAACTAGCACTGCCCCCTTGAGGACAGCTTCAGGGTTGTCTGCTGCTCGTGCGAGCCTGAGGTGCTGCGTCTGCCCCCATCTGCAGGCCCTGCCCCTCTCCTTTTGACCCTCCTGCTCTGCCCATACAGTTTGAATACCAGCAGGCTCAACTGGAGGCTGAGATCGAAAACCTGTCCTGGAAAGTGGAGCGCGCGGACAGCTATGACAGGGGGGTAGGTGCTGCTGCTCCTTGGACCTGCCGTTGCCGGGCGGGACGGGACGGGCTGCTGTGGGCTGGGAGCTGCTGCTGAGAGGCGGGAGGCTGTGCTTTCTGGCTCTCCCGGGCTGGGCCATGCAAGCACAGACTTTGCTTCCCGGTGCAGGACTTAGAAAACCAGATGCACATAGCAGAGCAGCGGAGGCGGACCCTGCTGAAGGATTTCCACGACACCTAGGCTGCCCTTGGCGAGCACGAGGGAGGAAGAGGTGGCTGGAGCCCGCCGGCTGCTGTTCTGCATGCTGCGGGCTCTGCCTCTCACGACCCCAGGCAGCAGCCAGGCCTACTCCTGAGAGACCCTGGCGCACACCTCAGTCCACTTCTGTTCTGTTTCATCTTTCTTTTTTTTTCTCCTACGGTCGAGGCCCTGTTGAATTGGCCTCTTCAGGATTTGTAATTCCCCCTGGACAGTTGTTGGGAGGGAGGGAACGTTTTTTTGAATGACTATTAATAGTATTAGCTCATTACAACGTACGTGATTTTCAAAGGTTGGAAAAATGTACCAAAAAAAAACCAGAAAAAGGAAACCAACCATAGAATTACACAGAACCTTTTAAACAAATAAATTGGCATTGGAGTGTTCGCCCTCTAGCTATTGTCCTTAGAGCGCAGCGTGCTGCCTGCCCACCCGGCCTCTGAATGTGCACTGTAGGCCAGTGTGGCCTCTGCTTCCCGATTCGCTTGGTGTTTGGGGTCCCAAGAGAGGAGCATGGGTGGCAGGTGGGGACTGGAGTTCGCCTGTGCAATGGGCTGGGCTGCTCCTGTAGACCTCCGGTCAGGTGCCCTGCCTGACCCTACAGTGCGCAGACAGTACGGGGCAGGGCTTGCCACGGCGTCTGACCGTCCTGGGTGGCGCCGCCTGTGGGCTCATCTTGATTCTTGAAGGTGAGGCTCACCCGGGTCTGGCTCCCGAGGCCAGAGCCCACAGCAGAGCATAGATGGTGGTCTTGTGCCTCCAGACCGGGGACAGGAGTTGAGCAGTGTTCCCTTTTGCCTGCTAAAGGTAGAGGTCCGCTTTCAAAGGGGATTGTTCCCCAGAATAACTGTTTAATTTGGTCCCTTCTTTTGTGGCAGTGTTCAGGGCGTAACTGACCAAGTGCTCACGCAGCGTCCCTGGCACTGTCCTGCCCGCTCCTCTGGCGAACCTCGGGTCGGAGTGCAGCGTGGCCCTTGCGAGGGCACCAGTCGTCCTGGCTCCGGGGCCTTGTTTGCACAGGTGGTTTTCCTGTTACCTGGAGTGTCCGCAGCTCTGGCGCTTGGGCGCTCTCCCCTCGCCTGACTTCAGGTGTCGGAGGGCTCCACCTCCAGGGTCTGGGAGTCTGAGACCAGGAGAACCCTTAGTCTGTGGTCCCGGCTCCTGTAGAAGGAGGGGCTGGCCAGGGAGAGGGCCAGGGCTTCACAGCTGAGCCCAAAGGAGCAGGTGGTTCGTTCACGTGGTGTCCTGAGCCTGGTCCTGTGGCCTCCGGAAAGTTAAATCTGGTCTCGGGGTTTCTGTGGCTGCGTGGTGCCTGCACGCTGAGGCTGCCGGGCTGTCTGTGCTCGACCTCCTTGACCTCCCGGGAGACGTATAAATATTGTGGTGGAAATTCTTTGATATTCAAACATTTTCACCTCAGCAGCTTCCCAGGTACCATGGTTGTAAACTGCACTACTCTTGGAGACAGGACAGCTTGGCTCTTGGGGTCACGGGTACACAGCTGGGTGCGGGTTCCCTTTCTCTCCGCTGGGGTTTTGTCTGCTCCTGTTCTCTCTTGCAAGGGGCGGACTGTGGTTGGAGAGGGCGGACAGTTAGTGTAGCCAGTGAGCCCAGGATTGGATGGGGCGCTCCCTGAAACAGGAGAGCCTGTGGGGCCTGGTGGGGTGTGAACGCTGTGCTGGCACATGGATGGTCCTGCTTACCTCCTGTCTTGCTGTGTCGCCGGCGTGGCCCAGGAGCCGAGCTGCAGCTCTCGCCCCGGTCGCACCCTGGGCGCCCTGCATGTTGTGGACTGCACAGCCGCCGTGTGCCCGCACCTGGATCCAGCTGCAGCCCAGCTGCGGGCACTGTGGAGGCTCGGTGCCCGACCACAGCCTGCGGGCCTGGCCCGGGAGCTTCCCTCTGCCCCGCGGCTGTCCCTGGGGAGGCTCGGCCGAGCTTTCCTGCCCCGAGAGGGTGGGAGATGAAGAAGGCACTGTGTTCTCATGAATTTGCCATATATCTTTGTTTTCTTCAAAGAAAAAGTTGAGGTCATGTCATCTGCTCAAAGTTGAGTAGTTTATTCAAAATAAATTGAAAGTTTCTGATTATAAAAGTGTGTGTAGATTTCTTTCTTCAAAGGACCCTTCACATAGCCTCCTGAGGGAGCATCCAGGGTACGGCCTTGGCACCGAATGCGCGGCCTTTTGGTCAGCCCCTCCTCCAGGCCTGCGAAGGCCCCGTGGCCTGACCGCCTTCCTCTTCTGGGGAGAGGACACGGGAGGGAGGTGGGCTAGCCGAGCTCCTTTCCATCCCATACAGGCCAACCCCCCAAAAAGACAAAAACGGATCCCTGGCTTTCTCACAGCCCCTGCTGAGGCCCTGGGCCCCTCCCCTCCTGATTGGACGTGGGAGCTTAGTGCTGCGGAATATGGCCGGGGTGGAGTTGGGTTCCAGCGGTTCTCAACCTGTGGGTTGCGACCCCTTTGGGGGTCGAATTACCCTTTCACAGGGGTTGCCTTAGACCATCCTGCATATCAGATATTTACATGAAGATTCATAACAGTAGCAACATGAGAGTTATGAAGTAGCAACAAAAATAATTTTATGGATGGGGGTCACCACAACATGAGGAACTGTATTAAAGAGTTGTGGCCTTAGGAAGGTTGAGAACCACTGGTAGACAGTCCTGGGTTATGAAGATAGGACTTGAGATCTCGAGAAACTAGAGATGTTCGGAGTCATGCCAACGGCTGAGGACAGGAAATACAAAGTATGGGTTCCCATTGAGGGTCCATTTGTGGCTACAGGAGTGGCAGCAACATCAGCGACAGCTCAGGGGTGAAGGCTGCAGAGCTGTGGGCGGCATGCACGGGGCAGTCAGGCCAGAGCGGCCTGGACCCTGCGGTCGGAACTCCGCAGTTGCTCCCCCTTGAGCCTCAGGCGTGAGAGAGACT